CTGGAAGTTCAAGGACAGCACTGGTGTCACTTAAAGAAGAGCTGGTGGCTGACAAAATAGAGATGGTCGACTTCAAGGTGACATTGTCTCTGCTGCTAGAAACCAAAGGTGGTTGTTCTCTTGGTTAAAGCAGACAGCCCAGTGCCAGCTCACTGCACAGAGTCTGAGGACAGAGAAGTGTGATCTGCAGTGATGCCCCTGCTGCCACCAAGGGCCTATGACTTCCTGAGTGGCATCTCCTTTTTAGGAGACTGACTTCCGTGCATCAAGGAGGGCTGGTTGTGCAACAGTCGTCATCCCGGACTGCAGGGGTCTCTGATGCTTACCATGTAAGAATGAGAATTCTAGACCTGAGACAAACTTTTGAGGTCAGCCAAGTCCAATGTGGTAGAGAAGCTGTGGCTCAGATGGCAGGCCCTTGGCTGAGGCCCCATAGACAACAGCCTAGCCCTTGACTCTGAACTACACCCTAGACGGTTGCACGCTGCCTTTGGTCTGGACTTTCCCAGAGAATGTGCCCACATCCAGTTACTGGCATTGCAGGTGTTCACCAAAGCTTCTCAGTTAACAGGCACCACCAGACGTCCAGACAGGAACAACAATGACACCCTCAAGGGGGCTCAGTGCCCATCAGACATTGCCTCGAGCCAAGCCCCCTAGAAGTAGAGCCTAGGGGCAGAGGTGCTCTCTGGGACTGGGGAAATGCCACTCATGGGTGCAGTGTCAGCTGGTGACAGGTGTGTCTGCTTCCATAGCAGAGTGAGTCCCTGAGGCAGGGAAGGCCTGGCTGCCCTGCCAGCCACAGGGCTGGGGAAGACATCTGGGCAGGAATCTGGCTGGCCCACATTATAAAGCCAAGTGGTCAGTGCTCTCAAACTATGACTCTAGCCAGCCTTCAGAATCCCCTAAGAGTTCATTAGAATGCAAATGTCAGAGCCCACCCTCCATCTCTGGGATGGGCTACCTGGGCTTTAACGAGTCTTCCACATGATCCTGATACCCTGAGTCTGAGACTGTTAGGAGAGCTGTGGGGCTAGGGAGGATGCTGGGGACCCTAAGATGCTGTGATAAGTGGGCAGGAAGAAGGCGGAAGCAGTGCGGCAGAGCTGCTCCGAGGGAGCCCCTGCTCCTCGCCTGAGACCGTCCTTGTCTTGGCCCTTGGCCCTCCTATCCCGTTGGGTTGCATAGTGACGCATTCCTGGTATGATGGGGGGGCCTCCTGGACCCTGTGGAGCCAGTGCCTTGTGCACACCACCCGCAGGGCTGCCCAAGAGAAGCACCCTTAAGCACAGAGGTTGGGGAAGACCCGAGCTGAAGGCCTCCCTCAGAGAGGATAGTTTGCCATGGGGACCAGGAGTTCTAACACAAACACAAGTCATTGGGGGTCGTGCCTGGTCCAATTCTGCGTTTATGACCAGCCCCTAGGGGACACTGAGGCTTCTGGCTCAAAGGCCACACTGACCAAAGCAACCAAACCAGTCAGGGACCAAGGGAGGTGCTGGAAGGAGCTGGGCCATCATCCACCAGTTCCTCACAAGTGGGGAAATGGCTGCCCAGAGACGGGAAAGGACTTGCCCCTCAGCAGCAGCCTGACTGTCCCCATCTTCCCTAGGAGCATGAGGAGTCGTGGTAACTTCTGCCCTCCATTCTGCCTGCACAGCTCACGTCCAGGGAGGCACCTGGCCCAGCTCCTGTCTCCCACAGCATCTCCCTCTCAGGTGCTGACGAGTCCACACAGAAGATTCCCAACAGGCCTGGGCTCACTGGGGCTACGCGGGCAGCTGGGCTACAGCCTGACTTGAGGAGCACCGAATCCATTATGTCCGATCCAAACAGCGTTGATTATCCAAGTAGAGGACGTCTTTGCCACTATGTTATCTTGAATAGAACTCCTCAGGAAAAGATGCAGGCAGAGACAGCGGCCACTGCCCTGCTCCCAGCCACCTCCAAATGACCACACCCCACACTGGTGGATGTCGAAAGGGCATTTATTCACCTTGGTCAGCTCTGAGGCTTCTGTCAGTGACCCACATAAATATCCAGCCAAAACGATTGTTCCCATCTCCCTGCTTGGCCATGGGGCCACCTACTCCTTCTCCCCAAGCAGGGGGAACTGAGGCTCCATGTCTACCCTGGCCCTCAGGCAGGCACAGCTCACCCAGCAAAGTGCACCCATGAGCCTCTCCACTTTCTGATCCCTGTTTTCAGCCACCCTACAAGTGCCAATGTTTGATTCATCAGCTAGCTGACAAATACTTCCCAAATGTTATAAAACCAGCCCTGGGCTAGAGTCCGTGGGGTTTAAGACACTATCCAACCCCTCACCTTCAGGGAGCTCACAGTCTTGTTGGGGGTTCGAGACACACACACACACACACACACACACAGGAGGCTGGAGCTAAGACAACCCACATGCATGTGTGTGAAAGGGCGTGCTACATGAGCAAGAACCATGCCGAGGGATGGGGGCGAAGCTGGCTCAGGCCTGGCTGGGTGCAGGAGAGAGGGGAACTGCAGAGTTCAGAGCAGGCTCAAGGTGGGGACCTGCTGCCCAGTGGGCTGAGGCAGGCAGGGTGATGAGCAGAAAAGGTGCATCCCATTCCTCTTCACTGATAAAGCTCAGAGCCAGAGTAAACGCTCTGAAGGCAAGGGCCTTCCCTCTCTCTGCTCTCCCCCAGAACAGGCATATAGAGGTGCCAGTAGGAACCTACCAGAAACAGGACAAGCAAAAACCCCAGGGCAGGAATCACAGATAATCCTGACAAAAGCCCAGCCCAGAAGGTATCTACTACCTGGACACACAGCTCTTCCCTGCCCACATGGTGCCACGATTACCACAGGCCTCTCCCACCCCAAGGGTCTTGATAAATATAACTGACTTCAGGAAATCTGCTTGTCATCAAAAACATGACCCAGCCCTGGCACTGACCCCTTTTCTGAAGGGGAGGGAGTGAGCACCAGATCAACCTGCTCAGGTGTGCAGATGGAGGTGTCTTCACCCTCCTGCTGGCCATGTGCACACTGGGGACAAAGGAAGACTTCTCTGACAGCCTCTTGTTCCCTGCCCAGGACTCGACAAGCAGGACAGAGGGCCCTGTGGTCTTCCTGTCCCGGCAGCATGGGTCAGACCCAGCTCACCACTCCTTACAGACATCCCCAAGCCAGGGAACCATCAGGTAGAAGGAGAATCACAAAGCCGCTGAGGAGCCAATCAGCCCAGGATCTCCCAGCAGTGTCTGCGGGAGGGACTCGGGGCTCCACAACAGGTATGTCGCTTGTTGGCTCTGGGAGAGGGGGCTGGTGAGAAGGGTCCCCTCCTCAGATTCTTTATTCCGGAACAGAGGGGAGACAGCACAGGAACACTGGCCAGACTCAAGCCAGGGAAGTTCCTGCCACCAGACTTCATTCATAAAACTGTTAATTTTGAATCTACACTAGTATATGTGTTTTTCTGGGGAATAAGTTCCAGCCTTCATCAGATTTCCAAAGGATCTCTTGGCCTCAAGCAGCCTTGCTCTGGAGGAAAATGAAGACTTCAAGCTCAAGTTCCCACCCAGGAGGCTCTGCTCTGCCGAGTCTTGCTGTACGGCTGTACGCCTCACCCAGGAGTAGAGACCCTACAGGGCACAGAACTGCCTCCTGGCTCTGGATCTGCCTGGCCTTCCTGCAATGGATCTTCATCTTCGTGGAAAATGTCCTCATGCCAAGTGCTGGTCAGGCCCTCAGGGGGCCCATTCTCAGTCACTGGAAGCACCTGGAACCTACCAGGCCCTGAGGTCCTGCCCACTCCACATCTGTTCACAGAAACAAAGAGAAACGAAGGGTTAGGTCGGGGAGGAGGGTGTCAGTGGTTCACGCTGCATTGAGCGAGTGCTATGAGCCCGTACCAAGCACTGCAAGGACTTCAATCCGGGGCCTGCTCCAGATTTCCTAAGCCCTGGTTGAATCTCGTATCTTCTGACACAAAGGTCTGGGCTGTGTGGGACAGACCCCTGGGTGCCATGCAGCACTGAGGAAGAGCCAAGGCCTGCCTGCCCACCCCCACCCCCCCGGGGATGGGAGGAAAGGGACGGCCCTTGGGTGCCTCTCAAAGCACTGCCTCAGGTCCTCTGCAGGCTCTCTCCCAAACCCCTGCAGACACATCACATCCCCTCAGGGCCCCCCAAGCATGGAGGGCCAGGCCCATTCCTGCCACCACCAGCTCCACTTTCCCATCAGTGAGAGCCAGAGGGCACAGAAGTAGGCCTGAAAGGGCCTGAGCTCTGGAAGCCACGCCCCAGGCCTGCACGCATTGTACCACTAAGTACCAAGTGCTGTCTTGGCCAAGTGTGTGCCTCAGAGCGCCAGCCTAGGGTCAGAGGACCTGGACAGAGTGTCTCCTCTTCCTCACGAGTGACCCTGGTGAGGTAAGAGCTCCACAATCGGATCTGTGCCAAGAACACTTCGCTCACCCTGTTACAGCTCCTATCACTCCGGAGTCTGCATCTTTTCCAAGCCCCCCACTCCAGCCTGAGTCCCACTGTTCTTCTCTGCGCCTCTCCAGAGTGGGGCACATCTTCGGCCCTACGCTCAGGAGGGCTCCAGGGGAAGTTTATGGACAGTGACGGCTGCCTTCCCTTGGGTGCAGGATGGCAACGATGCCCTCACAGGATCCCGAGCTGAGAAGCGTGACCGGAAACACGAAGCTAAGCAGCTGCTCGGAGTAACCAGGTCGCGGTGACGGAGCCGCGAGCCAGTGGGGTCTGAAGCTGGGGCTGAGGCCCTTGACCCTCCTCAAGAGCGTTCTGGAAAAGAAGAGCGCCACCCGCTCTGCACAGAGGCCCCCAGCCCGCTAGTCTCGCCACCGCCGCCCCTCCCCACGCTGGCGGCGCTCACCTGCTCTGGGCGAGCAGACGAGGGAACGGCCGGAGGCAGCGCACTCCAGCGCCCCAGCCCCTGGGCGAGGAGTGGGCGGCCGCCCGGAGCCCCCGGTCGGACGCGCCCCTATCCCCGGCCGCGAGTCAGAGCGCGCGGCCCCTGTGCGCCGCTGGGCCGTCGGCGCCGTGGCCGTGGCTGCGCTGGTGCGTCTTGAGGGCGCCCTCGCGGGCGAAGCTCTTGCCGCAGCGCGCGCAGCAGAAGGGCCGCCGCTCCCCGAAGACCCCAGGACGGCGCGGGTGCGGCGGCGGGGCGCGCGCGTGAGTGCGCGCGTGGCTGAGCAGGAAGCGCGGCTCGCGGAAGCGGCGGCCGCACTGCGCGCACTCGTGCGGCTTCTCGCCGCTGTGGATGCGCCGATGCGCGAGCAGGTTCTGCTTGAGGCTGAAGCGGCGGCCGCAGTCAGGGCAGGCGAAGGGCCGCTCGCCCGTGTGCGTGCGCTGGTGCACCTCCAGGTTGTGCTTGACACCAAAGGCCTTGCCGCACTCGGGGCACACGAAGGCGGCGCGGCCTGGGCCCGCGTGCGCCTTCTGGTGCCGCACCAGGCTGGGCTGCTGCGGGAAGGTCCGGCCGCAAAGCGGGCACCGGTGGGGCGGCTCCTCCGCAGGCTGGTGGATGACCAAGCCGCGCTCGTCCCCCAGGGCCTCCTCTACGGCCCCGGCGGGGGACGCGCCCCCAGAGGACACCGGCTCCGACATGGGCCCTTCCAGCGACTCAGCAGCCCCTGGCGAGGCAGAAGCGGAGAGAGGAGTCAGGCAGGGACCCAGGGGGCGCTGCAACCGGAGCTCGAGCATTCTCCGCTCTTCGGTTGGTTCAGACCAGCCTTCCCCTGCTGACATGGCTTGTTTTCTCCTCTAACATCCTACTGCTGCTTCTACTTCCAGGCCCTTCTCAAGTGCCACAAACTTCTAGAAGCTCTCCCTGACCCCTCCAGCCCTTCCTTAAACTGCCTAACCAAGGGATGCTTAGCACCCTACGTGGTGGTGACCAGGCCTGCCTCCATCTCCACAGCCAGGAGCCAGTTAAAGACCAGGCCTGTCCTCACGCAGGCTGCTCCATTCAGAGGCTGCCTAGTGCTTAAGTTATACTCCCACAGGTGTGTGTTACCTCTCCATCTTGAATCTGGAGGGAAGGGTAGGGCCATCTGGTTGAGAGATGCTTTGGGAAAGCTTAACACAAGAAAGAAAACAAAGGCACTCTAAACTGGAAAATTACCTCGGCTGAACATTAAAGGCAGCGAGCAGCTCCTTGTTCATGGAAACGAGGCATGAGCTTAAAAGGTTTTCAAGTCACTGCGCTAACGCAGGAGCTCTAGGGAAGAGGTGGGGAGCTCAGCTTCACCCCTCTTTGAACCCCCATGGCCAGGACTGTCCCGACCAAGTACTACTTGATACTTCACATCCCAGCCTCAAACGTACCACATTGGGGCTACTGCTCCTAGGGTCTCTCTTACCCAGGGCAGTGAACTTCTCTAAATTGGTTTCCCATTGTCCTCACAAAAGCCCGGCTTTACTGATGGAGAAACTCAGTCTCAGCAAGGTCAATGTACTTGCCCAAGGTCACACAGCAGCCATACCCAGGAATAGATCCCAGGTTGCTGCCTGAGCTCTTTTTAGTGGGTTGCTGCTCAGCCACTGAACACCCTCCACAACACACACACACACACACACACACACACCCCCCAGCCCTGCAGAGCCAGCCATACCCAAAGGATCCTGCTCTGACAGGGCAGTGTGCTGCGGCTAACAAAACCTGGGCTCCTGCTCCTGCAGGGAGCTCAGCCCCAAGGGGATGGGGTCCCTGCCACCTCCCCCTCCCTGCTGCGACTCTGCATGCGGGCTTGCCCCAAGCTTTCAGATGTCACTGATCACCACAGCCTCGGCCCACCTGTCTGCAGAGTGGGGTCTCAGGCAGTGCCTCACTTCCCCTTGCCCTCAACCAGAGGTCAGAGTGGAATAGATTCTTGCCCTGACGTGGCACCACTTCAATAGACCCCGCCCACAAGTCTTTCCCAGGCAGCTGCACTGATACTGCGAAGACACACCATCACAGTCCCCTGGGCCAGTCTCGGCCTGGCCCTGTCACTGCGCCGAGGGTCTATGGCCACGGCCCCCGCCCCTCCCCAAGTTCTTCCTTCCCGTCTCACACTCACAACTCAGGCTGCGCCCCTGTCTCTCCGGTGTCCAGCGGCGACACTTTCCTCAAGAGCCTGCGCTACCCAGCGCAAATACGGTAACTCTCCCGCAGCGACTCTGCGTCCTTTCTCCCCCGCCCCCATAAATACGGCAAGACCCCGCAACGCTTTCCGTGTCAAAAAAAAAAAACACTGCATTAATCAAAAGCGCTGAGCCCACAGAACCTCGTCAACTCCTAGGGCCAGGGCGACCCTGAAGAACTATGGTAAACCCTGCGTCGCAACCCAACCCCCACGAAAATACGTAGGCCTCCCGTGCGGCTGCCGCAACCCACCCCATCCCGCTCAAGGCCTCGCTGGCTGCCTTGGGGAAATAATGTAGTCCACCTCCCGCTCCCCCACGCCCCCCGGGAACCACACGGTCCCTGATAAATACGCAATTAAGTCGCGGCACTCCCGGCCCCCCCGGAAGGACCTCCGCAGCTCCCAGTAAATACGGTAGAGCGCCGCAGTGACGCTGTCCAGAGCCTTGGCCCGGATAAATACGGTAACGTCCTGCGGTGGGGGGGGACCCCCGTGGCCGCCCCTGTCCCCGACGCTGCTGCCTGGGAACCCTCCACCCCCACCCTCGAGGCTTCCCCCTGCCGCCGCGGCCCAGCAGCCCCTCGAGGCTGGTAGTCTAACCACAAGGACAGGCTCAGGGCGGGGGCAGGGGGCCGGGTGAGGACTGGACGGGAACCAACAAGCCTCCCATCCTCGGGCTCCAGCCATTCCCATTCAGGGTTCCCAAGGTCTCAAGTCAACAGCTGGAGCACCGTCTTCTAAGGCAAGAATACTCTGGACAGGCCAAAACTGCCCGGAAAGTCTAGGGAAAGGCATTTGGAGATACAAAGTCCTTCCTTGCATGGGCCAGAGCAGCCTATAGGGAGCATCACGTGTGGGAGAGCGCGCCAAAGGGCACAGACGAAAAGCCTTGCTGGTGGCATAGTGTCTAAGGCATTTGACTGCTAACCAGAAGGCTGGCGGTTCAAACCCACCAGCCACTCCTCGGAAAGAAGGTTGGGCAATCTACTTCCTTAGTGATACTGCCTCGGAAACCCAAGGAGCGGTCACTGTAAGTCGGATCCAACTGGACAGCAGTGCCTTGCGCTGTTTGGTTAGCTGAGCCATGCGGGGGGGCTCCCTCTCAGAACTGGCCATGCATAGGACAGTTCAAGCCAAATGCGTCGCCTAAGCACCCAACAACTGTGCCTGGAGAAGCAGGGCGTGCAGAGAGGGTAGGGCTGAACTCCAGCCGTCAGCTCTCAGTTGCCCAACAACTGTGCATTCCCATGTATTATCTCGTGGATTCTTCCTTACCAGGGTGTGGGTTAGGCTGCACATATATGATGACCCCATGTTATAGACGGGAGACTAAAAGTCGAGCACCAAGTGGTTCCCCAGACCCAAGCCAGGGCTATGCCAGGTGCTGCAAAGCACACCCAGGTATGGTGGCAGCCAACCCAAGAAATGATCTAAAAGATACCTCAGAATTCATGTCATCCCACCCCACGATTTACAGTTGAGGAAACAGGTCTGAGAGTAAAGAGCTTTTCAAAGTTAAAGGTGCTGCAGGTGGACCCTGGGCAGGCATCTGCAGCAGGTGGTGGGTGTGGCTCCAAGCACCTCGAGGCCCAGGGCTCTGTGGGTGCCCACTGGTGCTTTCAGAGCTTGTGGACAGAACCCCAGGGGTCTGCTGGGCAGGAAGGACAGTCTCTTCCTCCCCACACCAGGGCCCTGCTTCTACAACGCCATCACCCAACACTGCTCCCACATTACTGCACCCAGTGCAGTAAGACTTATAAGCCAGACACCCAAAGGAGACTGGTGTTTAAGATAGGGATGCCAGCAGGATGAATCACCAGGAGAAATGTTTGCTCTGACCTCAGGGCTGTGTTTAGAGTCACTGTGGCTTTGGCATTAGGACCTCATCACCTCATGGGTATGACCCTCCCCCAGCCCTGGGAGGTCTGCCATCCCCAATGCACCAGCTCCTGTTGGAAACACTGCCATCTGCCAGGGCAACCAGCCTTGCACTCCTCTGCCAGCCACAAGAGAAATGGGACACTCAGAAATGAGCAGCTTTCAGAAAGAGAAGTCAGTGGTATGCCCATGTTTTTACCAGCATTTTCTAGGGGTCGATTTTTACCATTAACCCCTGAAGGCACAGTGGTTAAGTGCTTGACTGCTACCTGAAAGGTCCGTGGTTCAAACTCACCAGCCTCCCTCTGGGAGAGAGATGTGGGTGGCAGTCTGCTTCTGTAAAGATTTGCAGCCTTGGAAATCCTATAGGGCAAGTCCACTCTGTCCCACAGGGCCATTGAGTTGCAATTGACTCAAGAGCAGTGGGCTCCAGATAGACCGTACCAAAACAAGGGGAAAGACCAGAGCTCAGGTGTGGAGGCAGGAGGAGAGACCACCTCAGACTCTGAGTGGCCTCCATTCTCTGCTCGGCACCAATCCCACTGTGTCACTTGGCTTCTCTAGTTTTGAATGCATACCTCTGTGGAGACACAATACTTTCAGAGAGGTGGATATTCTACAAAGGAACAGGCAGGGCCAGCTTGGTATTGTCACCACCCTTTGATGCCCACGTGACAGCTGGTCTCTAACAAAGCCTGGCATATGGCTCCTATGTGGACAGCAAGCTCACAGCTCCCTGAGGCCTGGTCACAACTGCCCAAGCTGTGGGCCATCCCACTCTCTCCTCCAGAATGCTACCCCTGCAAAGACCACTGCTTGCTGCCTGGGGTGTGTGCGCATACAGTGCCTTCTTCCATGAGGTCCTGGAAGGGTATGTCTCACCCACCTAGGCCCCTTGTAAGCTAACACATCCTTCTGTGAGAAGCTAGTCCTTGGGGTCAGAAAATGGGATTCTGATGAATTTGCATGGCAAGTAAAAGGTACCCCATTAACCTCAAGTACCACCAGCTATGTGGCACTGACTTTGTCATTAAACAGGCCACTGTGGATGATGCTTCTACCCACAGGCCTTTCCAGCGTGTCTGCCTGACCACACACTCAGGCACCTGACTCCAAAAGGGCTCTGTCCTCACTGGTCCTGGCCCTCCAGCCCATGAATGAGTGACAGCACACAGGAGCCCTCCTCCAGGAGGCAGCTTGCTGGGCTCCAAACCTCCCCTATGCTTGAAGAATACACTACCGCCCCCCCCACTCCAGCACTTGGCCCCCTAGCAGGCAGGCTGCAGGTGCTGAAGGGAGTTGGGGAGGAACACGTAGCAGGTGAGAGACCCACTGAGAGCTGAGTGATCCCGTGAGGGTGAACGGTGATCCATCTTGCCCAGCTCAGCTCCTGATGGGGAACTGGGCGGGGAATGGGAGGACAGGGAGTCACAGGACAGGGCATGGGAGGACTGAGTGTTCTAACCAGCCCTGGTCCTGGGCCTCCTAGGTATGCTGGGATGGCCGAAGCAGTTGCTGCCCTCACCAATACTCCACATGTGCTTTTAGAAGCTTTTGCCAAGAGAAGAGGATTCAACAAGAACTGAGTGGGTGACCAGAAGCCAGGACAGCTTCCAGGGAAGGCAGCCCCAAATCCAGAGAAGAATCCTGGCTCCCAGCAGGGTGAGCAAGTGATGCAGAGCCACACTGGGCCCCCTGTCCTCTCACTCCCCAGCTAATGCCCCAACACCCACCCGCGCCCTCTGCCATGCCCTCCTCCCATGTGGTCTTAAGCCATAACCTGGTCCAGAGCTCTGGGTTTTCTGTAGGTGGCCTTAAGGGTATGAGGGGTGACCTCTGGGTGGCTGCAAATCGAGGGGCTGGTAGGAAGAAGACAGCAAACTGACTCGGAGAAGAGAGAACACTGCCTCCCCCCAACACACACAAGAACTGGGGACAGAGTGGCACTCACACACAGGTGCCTTTCCTGTCCTGGGGCCAACAGGTCCCTCAGAGAATGGAGACTCAGAGCTCAATGGGGTTTAGAAAGGACCACGAGACCACGTGAACAGTCAAGCCTTCATTTTCTCTCTGAAGGGGCTGGGGAAAGTCGCAGTCAGGCAGACACAGGTTGCAATCCCCAAGCCACCAAACCTCTGCCCTGAGTTCAGGCACAGTACACACAGCAGGGGGCAACAGGGCACTCAAGCTGCAGTGCCACCCAAACATCTGTCTTCCCCAAAGATCTGTCCAGTGGCCATGCTGGGGCACTGGGGCTATGCTTGCTCCCACAACTGCTCTAGCTTCCAGTCCTTGGCATCTCAGAACCTGAGACCTGAATGGCATCTGACTGAGTCGCACTCCGCAGGTAGAGTGCCACCACTGTCCTACCCGCCCAGACCTAGGCCACTTCTTGCCAGGGATCCCACCTGATGGGATGCACAGGCAGGGGCTCGGCCTGGTGGGGCCTGGACTTCCAGGCCTCCTCCCCAAGTCTCTGGTTGGGGCTCTGATGGGGCTTCAGCCTCCTGGGCCTCTCCCCTGGGGCTAAAAGCCCCTGGTCATTTCCAACACATCCCGCTGTCTGTCCATCAAAGTACATCCTCCTTGGGGCGGGCGGTGGGGGCCAGGGCTCCCAGGTGAACTCGCTGGTGCTTGAGCAGGTGCTGCTTCTGGCGGAAGCCGCGGCCACAGGCAGCACACAGGTAGGGCCGCTCGCCCGTGTGGTTGCGCCGGTGCCGCGTCAGGTTCGGCTTCTGGCTGAAGCGCCGGCCGCACTCGGGGCAAGGGTAAGGCCGCTCGCCCGTGTGGATTCGCCGGTGGATGGTAAGGGCCGACCACCAGGAGAAGCTCTTACCGCACTCGCTGCAGATGAACTGGCGGGGCTCGCCGGGCGCAGCTACGGCCCCTTGCCCCCCGCCCCACGTCCCAGGCCCCCGCGACCTGGGCGGCTGTGGGGAGAAGCCCCAAGAGGCATCTGATGGCTGTTCAGAGCCTGGCCCCGGCTCCCCAGCAGCCACAATGGAGGCGTGGGCGCGCTGGTGGGCACGGAGCGCACCGCGGCTGGGGCAGCTCTCCCCGCAGCGAGGGCACACGGTGGCCTTCGGGACAGCCAGGTGTGTGCGCTGGTGCTTGAGCAGGTGCTGCTTCTGGCGGAAGCCGCGGCCGCAGTCCAGGCACCGGTGCGGCCGCTCGCCCGTGTGGTTGCGCCGGTGCCGCGTCAGGTTCGGCTTCTGGCTAAAGCGCCGGCCGCACTCGGGGCAGGAGTAGGGCCGCTCGCCCGTGTGGATTCGCCGGTGGATGTTGAGCGAGGACCACCAGGAGAAGCTCTTGCCGCACTCGCTGCAGATGAACTGGCGGGGCTGGCCGGGCCCCGGGGTCACATTGACTGCAGCCTGTGGCGCCAGTCCGCCCCACCACGCTGGACAGGGCCCCAGCCAGGCCCACTCGGGGGTACCTGGCTGCACTGCCCGGGGGCGGCAGGCCTGGTGGGCCACCGTGCCCCCAAGGTGCTTCTGCAGCGCGGCCCCAGCCAGCTGGCGGTCCCGGACGTGGGTGCGCTGGTGGGTACGGAGACCCACCTTGTGGCGGAAGCAGCGGGAGCACTCTGGACATGCGTGGGAGGCGGGGCGCGCGTGCGTCTTCTGGTGCTTGACCAGGTGCTGCTTCTGGCTGAAGCGCCGCTCGCACTCGGGGCAGCAGAAGGGCCGCTCTCCGGTGTGGTGGCGCTGGTGCCGCACCAGGTTCGGCTTCTGGCTGAAGCTCTTGCCGCACTTGCTGCAGAGGTACGGCTTCTCCCCAGTGTGGGTCCTCTGGTGGATCTTCAGGGACGACCACCAGCTGAAGCTCTTGCCGCAGTCCAGGCACTCAAAACAGCCCTCGGAGGCAGAGGGCGAGGCTCTTGGCAGGGCAGGAGCCTGGCCTGTCCGCCCTGCGTTCTGCTCAGGGGCAGGGGCCCACCTCGGAGCCCTAGTCTCTTCTTGTCTGCCCAAGGCACAGGGTGTCCCCATGGCCTGGCATGGTGGGAGGCCTCGGTGCTGCTGGAAAACGTTTTCCTTGCCTCTCTCCGAGAGCAGCCGCTTCTCCTCCTTAATCTTCATGCCCAGCCCGTCTCCTGCCAGAGGCAAAGGGAAGAGAGGATAAGGAGTGATTATTCACTGATGGAGACAGTCCCTCACTGCATGATGGGATGGAGGGGCAGAGGCCAAGAGGGAAGAAGTGGCAGGAAGGGAAACACGGGTTCCCATGACCATCCTCAGGTTGAATAATTCATCAGAACTCGGGAAAGCAAGGCACTTAGGATCACAGCTTTAGTACAGGAAAAGGAGGCAGATCAGAACTAGCCAAAGGGAGAGGCTCATAGGGTGAGGTCTGGGAAGGTCTCAAATGCAAAGCTTCTGCCACCCTCAGGGACATCAAAATGTGACAATTCTAAAAGAGAAGTGCCAATCCAGAAGTACACTCAAGCACTGTTGTCCACAGCTTTACTGAGGCTTTACCACATAGCAGGATTGACAGTGTCACTGCCCACATGGCTGAACTCTATCTCCAGTCCTCTCATCCCCCAACTCCCCAGCCTGGGCTGATAGGACATGGCTCAGAGTCCCAATCCTCTAAGCGTCACTGGTTTTTCTCGTGTCGGAGAGTCACCTCATTATATAAACTATCACATGTGGTCCAAGAGCCTCACCATGAATCACAGAGCCCTCTAATCACCCAGGAAATTCTAAGGTGTTTTAGTTTCCTAGGGCTGCCACAAAGTCTGTGCCTTTAAATGACAGTTCTTACAATTCTGGAGGCTTTAGAAGTCCAAATTCAGGGAACTGACAGGGCTCCATTGTGTCAGCTCCGGGGGAAAACCTTCCTCGTCTCCTCTAGCTTCTGCAGCCACAGGCATTTGTCTTTCTTGGCTCGTAGACAGCTCCTCACGTGTAGTCTTTCCTTGTGTGTGCCTCCCTTTCTATAATATACCTCTCAGAAGGGGTCAGGACTAAGACCCACCGTACTCCGGAATAACTGTGTTAGACCTAACTGATAACAAACAAGGTCACGATCATAGGTGCAGGGTTAGGATTTCAACATGTCTTTCTGGAGGGTACAATATAATACCTAACACTTTGCCTTCTACCCCAAAAAAATTCATCAACTTCACATGTGCAAAATACATTCACTCCAGCCCCATATCCCCAGGTCTTAACCCATTTCAGCATCAACTCTAAGTCCCAAATCTCACCTTCTGAATTATCTAAGTCAGGTATGGGTGAGACTTTGAGTACAGTCCATCCCGGGCTAACTTCCTCTCCATCTGTGAATTTGTAAACCCTAGGATATAAATTATCTGCTTCCAAAGTACAATGGTTGGGAAGGCATAAGGCAGACATTCCCAACGCAAAACAGAGAAACTGGAGGGAAAAATGGGGTGAAGGGTACCAAGCAAGTCCAAAATTTAGCAGGACAAATTCCATTAGATTTCAAGCCTTGAAAATAATCTTCTGTCCCCCAGGCACATCTGGGTGGTGGCCCTTCAGCCTTAGGAAGCCCCACTGTCTTGGTCCAATGGACAGCGAGCCCCTCTCCAGTCCTTACACAAACCAGCCCTGCTGGTCTTTAAACTGCTCCTGGGATTGGCCTTCCTTTTTCCGGAAGGACAACTTAGTTTTGTAGTCAGTAGCTCCATCCTCTCATTTCCTGCCGGTAGGATTCCAGGAATCAGACCACTTTCTTGCATTTGCTCTCGTCGCTATCCCCTTTAGTCTAAACTGGGACGATTTCTGCTGAGATGGTTGACCATATGTATAGGTCACAGGCCTAATCTCATTAGCAAACAAGTATTGAGTCACACTCTTGGTGTCCTCTCCAGGGCACACTTTCTAAATGTTTACAACAGAATTTTCCAGATCTTCAAGTTCTGATTCCTTTTTGGATTGCTTATTCCTTAATTTATCTTTCTGCCTGCATTTTACTGTAAGGAGCAAGGAGAAATGAGGCTGCATCTTGAAGATGATGCCTAGAAAGTTCCTCAGCTAAATATACAAGTTCATCACTTAAAAGCTCTATTTTCCACAAAACGCTCAAATATAAGTTATTTGCCACTTTATACCAAGCATCACCGTTCTCCAGCGTGCAACGTGTTCACCATTTCCTTTTGCGACCTCACCAGAAGCACACTTAACATTCACATTTCTAGCAACATTTTACTCACGACAACATAAGTTGTCCCCACAGCTTTCCTCGTGTCTTTCTCCGCCCTCATCAGAATTGCCCTTAATATCCCGCATTCTACCGACAGCCTCTTTGAGGCAATCTAGGCTTTTACTATCAAGCACCTCAAAATTCTTCCAGCCTTTACTCATTACCCAATTCCAAACCCACTTCCACATTTTTTAGGTATCTATTAGAGTAGCACCCCAAATCTCACTACAAAATTTGGTCTGTTTCCTGGTGCTGTGTGAAGATTAACTTCATGAATCAACTAGGCTTAGCTATGATTCTCGGCAATGTGACCACACACTGAACTTTATGTGATGTGATAATCAGCTGAAAGGGGAGTTTCCATGAGATATGGTCTGCCTCTAAAACACAAACGGATATTCTGGCCAAACGCACTGCGACAACCCTGTCCTCTTCTTGTGCCTCGCCTCCAGATCCTGGGTCATAAGCCCACAGAAGTCTCCAGCCTGCCGCCTTACCACCAGCCCCCACCAGCCCCTAAGCCAGCAGAGGTTTCCCGCAGCTGCCTGACCACAAGTGCATGAGCCACCTTCTTGAACTAAATCTATCTATATTCATATATATATATATGGGTCTCAGTGGTTTTTCTCCTCTAGAGAACCCAACTAAGACAGGCTCCCATCAACTACCATAAAGTCAGTGGCTTTAAAGAGCAGAAAATAATTTTCTCACAGTTCTGGAGGCTAGATGTTCAAATTCAGGGTATCAGTAGGGCTCTGTTCTATCAGCTCTGTTTTGTCTCCTTCAGCTTCTAGAATCCTGGGTGCTTCTTGGCACTTCACATGAACTCTCCCCCTAAGTGTCTCCCTTTTTAAAAGACACCACTCAGAGACTTCTGGTAAGGTGGAGGAACAGACAGACAAGCTACACAGACCTTCTTCAACAAAGAAAAGAGAAACCAATTGACAGAGATACAGAAAATAATCCTGGAACGCTGAGCTTTGAAAGAAAGGATACAGAAGTGGATTAGGTACCAACTAGTGGAAAAACCTGAATGAAAACAGTGAGCATGGAGACAGTTGCAGCAGTGGACTGTCAGCTACTCTGACAGGACCAACAGCCTGAATATTTCCAAGTGGTAATGGGACCTGAAAACTGATGACTGAGCTGGTAGAATATAATGAGAAAGGGAAACAGCAAGGAGAGAGACAATCTGAGCTGTGGAGTTTCCAGCTGTGGCTGTCTGGAGGGCATAGCCATTTTGAATGTTTACAAGCAGTGGCCATTTTGGATATTTAAAGTGACTGAGGGCAATGCCATTTTCAATGTTTACAAGCAGCAACTATTTTGAACATTTAAAGTGACCAAGGGTGCAGCCATTTTGAATCTTTACAAGTGGCAGCCATTTTGGATTTTAAAGTGATAGCATTCTCATTCGGATTCCAGGGACCTAAGAATAGGCTCTGTTTGCCAAGGTCAGCAGGGACATATGAGAGGCTGATGACAGGAAGGGAGACAGGTGGTGAATGTATAAGTGGTGCCAACTAGCGAACAGAGGAGCATAGCACAGTACCCTGCTTATGTAGATAACATACAAAGAAAATTAAAATTGTGGGCAAGTCACTCCAACATACAATCACCAATTAAATAGAAACATAAAAACATCACAGTGCCTTGGAGACAACAGAGCATCACAGTGCACACAAAGAAGCAAGATAAAGCAGGAGAAACAAAGGACCAGGATACAGACCCAAAACACATCCCTGAGGGAGACCCAGCATTGGAACTCCCTGATAAGGAATTCCAAAGAATTATATTTAGGTATCTTCAATGAATTGAGAGACAGATCAAAGAAAACTCTGACAAAATTCAGGAAAACACACAGAAAACCCCAGAACAATTTCAAAAGACAATACAAGAACAAAATGACAAAATAAATGAAAAATTAGAAATTATACAAAATCTACACATAGAAATCCAGAAGACTAATACTAAATTTTCAGAAATAGATAATATGTTGAATGGGCAAATGAGTAGAATTCAATCAATGGAAGAAAGAATGAGTGAGACTGAAGGCAAATACTTCCATACTTCTTTAGAAATCAATCAATCAGAAAGAAGATCAAAACAAAATGAAGAAAGCCTAAGGTTCTAGTGGCATAGTGCCTAAAGCACTTGACTGCTAACCAGAAGGCTGGCAGTTCAAACCCACCAGCCGCTCTTCGGAAGGAAGGTTAGGCAATCCTACTTCTGTAGTGATACCGCCTCGGAAACCCAAGAAGGGGTCTCTATGAGTCGGGGCCGACTCGACGGCACATAACAACAACAACAAGGTTCATGTTGTTGTTGTTGTATCGGCATTCCAGAACAGGAAGAGACAAATAAAAACACATAGAAAATTGTTGAAG